GAAGATTAATAACAGATTTCACAAGTGTTTTTTTGAGACTTATGAGCTATAATTAGAAGGTGTAAAATTAGTTTTGTTTTACTATATTATAAAAATAGTAAATTAATGTTGCTAATTTGGAATTTAAATAATAACTAATTCAGGTCGTTGACGCTGTCAACAACTTTTTGTTTTTACCATAATTGAAATGCGATGACTGATTTTCTAACGTCTATGCTAGCTCTGAATACTGCTAAATAACACTTCCTACTGCTGCCAAGTGCCAAGCTTAAACATATCGTTCCCAAATTTTAGAGGTACAAACCTCAGTTAGTTTTTCAATAATATTGTTTCAACAATGTTTAAATAATATAAAACTCAAAAACCTTCATTTTATTTAACAGCATTATTGTTAAACAGTAATACAAAAGTACCACAAATCTATGTTCCTACATATCAGTTGCTGTTTCGGTAATTGCATCGAATTCGAAGATGGATCAAAGATGATAGGCCACGATTCGTCAAGAACTAAAAAAACAAACAAAGATTCCAAAAAGAGATAACAAAGTATCCGACACGTTAATTGATGTGGAGTCAGTGGAGACCACCCAAAAAACAAACCTAATCTTAAATCTCAAACATGGATAAGACAATAATTTTTCTATTTGTCTAGTGGAATTAAAAAATATGGATAAGACAATAATTCGACTATGACCCAAATATACTAACTTCTGTCTTCTTCAAGATCAGATCTATCTAGGCCCGGCCCGCCACCAATACCCAAGATACAAATGGACTGGGTCTCTAAATTTTTAAAGAATTTTAATACTAAAATTAGGCCTCAAGAATAGTTTTTTATTGCAAAAAGAGGCTTCATTATTCAAAACATTAAGATTTAGTCTTAAATTTTAAATTTTATCTATTTTTTATTACAAAAATAGGCCCAATTTTTCTGAAAATTTAAGATTTGGTCTATTTTTATATTTGTCTACAAAATTCATTAAAAAAAAATATCTGTATTGGACCTCATATATAACAGGGCCGGCCGGGATCTACCTTGATAGTGTGAACACATTGATATCATAGGAAGATTCCCACGTAAAATTTAACAGCAATTTTTCTTTATAGATCTTATCTTATGAGTAAACATATTATATACATTGAAAACAATATATACAAGATCGGGAACGTCTAAACTTTTATATATTCACGGGTTACGTAAACTCTTCATGATCTTTTTGGTTTATACACAAACCACATCTTGTTCTTTCCATATGTCCGTGGCAAGAAGGTAATTAATAGTCATAGAACAAGAATGAACAAAAAACAAAAGAACCATACGAGAAGAAGAATATATTAATTACAGAAACCCCACGAGAGGAATAGGAACGGCGGTGTAATTACTCCGGCGACCATACATCACCGGAGAATATTGAATCACCGGTGGAGGACGATGACGGAAAGCTACTTCGATTGATTCTGCAACGGCGGCGACGAAATCTACTGTCAATTTCACCAACTCGATGCAAATCTCCATTTTTAGAGTCACCATTGTAGATTAAGAACAATTCTTCTTTTCAAAGATAAGATAAAAAATATGATTTTTGATTTCTTCTCTCTATTTTCCGCGTATCCAGAGATCTTGCTTGTCGTTGTGAAGTCTTTACATGCAAAAACCAGACTTATATATATGGAAATATCCATATTATTATTTTATTTGAGTGGACCGATCAAAATACTACGTGGCTTGAAACTTGCAAGCAATTATTAGCAAGGTTTTTTTTTTTCTTGGAAGATGCTTGCTTCGTTGGCTCTTGGTTTATGCGAAGGGCCAATAATACGTAGGGGGCATTTTTTTACATACAAAGATTTTAGATATGTGTATAGACAATTTAACCCAAAAAAAAAAAAGATATGTGTATTGTATAAATACCCAAATACTGTACAAATACAATCTTGTATAAAATACAAAATATCTACGTATTACAAAATTGTATCTCTCTATATATTTTTTACAAATAATTAAATTTATTAATTGCAAAATTATCGTTATCGTCTATTTAAATATTACATACAAAAAAGCTATGTTACTAAATATTTTAATAATTACAAAAACCACTACGTAAAGTGTTGAATCTATTATAATGAACGCAGACATAACATTTTTTACACCGTTTTAATATTGTAAGATAGCGTTTTTCAAATGCTAAAGCCTTGATTGGTGACTTGAAAAAAGCGGAATTGAGATGCAAATAGTCAAAAACGCTTTTTGTCAGCCAATCAACAAAAATATTTAACAATTTGCGTTTTTAAAAAAAATGAAAAAGCAACAAATCGCGGATTTTGAGGCTGGATATTACACAGAACCACAATTCTACATACCTATCATGTTTTATCCAGCGGTTTTGGTAGAAATCCGCGACCAATGGGTAAAAACTTTTGTTTTTCTTTTTCATTTAATTTTTTAGTTTACTAAATTTGCTATATATATATTACACCTATCTTTTCAAAAATCACATATACAAAAAGTAGAAAAAAATTTTCCTCATATATTAATAGTTTAATTAAAATATGCTTATAATTTTTTTTAATGCAAAGATATGCTTATAGCTAATAAATTATAATCACATTTTTGTAGAATCTCATCTTATTCTTTCGATATATGTTTTTAATCTATATTTTGGAGTGCTTTTGTTCTTAATAATACAAAGCGGGTCATGATTCATATTTGTTAATCTATAATTTCTTAATTCAAAATTTTATTATAGTAATAAGTTATGTATTTCATTTGTATATAGATAAATATACTTTGTACATATATTACAAAATCAACTTAGTTATTTTTAAAATTTATTTTAATAACATTTACAAAAACAAATTACTAATTAATTCATACAAATAATATTATAATAGATATAATATATACATTCTATGTTTATAATATTATAATTTTTTTTATGAACATATAACACATATTTTTTTTTTATCATTCACATATTTTATTGTGTACCGCAAATAGTCTTTTTCACCAATCAATATTAGTTTGTACCGCTTATTTTATAAAAACCGCACTTGTCCCGCAAATACAATTCTCTCGTATGTACCGCAGTTGAACCGTACCGCACTATAAAACCGCTTTTCCCGCACAATCAAATACGCTATTACCATTCGGACCCTAAAAATACCATAAATTTTTTTGTAGTGGATATAATCAGTTCGGGTTTTGTCAGAGTAAGATTTATAAACTAGAAGTTTATAATAAGATATATACGGCCGACAAAAAAAAGGATGCATGTACTAGCCATAGATTAGATATGTTAAAATCTTTTTTTTTTTGAAAAATCATTAGACATGTTTGGATTCAAGTCCCATACCAACATGTTTTTATCAGCAACACTAGGATCGGACCCGCGGTCCACCGCGGGAGAATATTGGTTTATATACATTGCGTTTAATATTGTGTGTGTTTTTAGTAGAACGAATCGTGTAGTATACTTATAAATATTCATAATAACGAATTGTAGAGAAAATGTAAAATTGTTTATAAATATACCCATCGTATTAATTATGATTTACAAAATAGAATTTTGTGTTTTAAAATTCTAAAATTAGACGATTCATGGGAATTAAAGCAGTCAAAATATGTCAAAAACCGCGGGTCGAGCCCACATCATCTCACTATAGGGCAGATTTGGGAAAATATATTAAACCCGCAAATAAGCGGGCCACATAGATTAATTCGCAGTGGGTCATAGGTTTAATCGGTTTTCATCTGCGGGTTGGCGGATCAGCCCGCATATTAGTATTTATTGATAAAATTATAATTTATTCAACATGTGGTAATTTAAACAAACTTTCAATAGTATTTTTATTTATTTATTTATTTTAGTATTATTTTAAATTTTGGTTACTTTAAAATTATTTAAACAAAATCTATGGACAATCCCGCAAATCCGCATACATTCGCGGGACGGGTTTGTATTTCATATATGCTACCCGCGGGTCGTGCGGACCGACTAACTACAAGTCAAAATATTTTTTGTCTATCGCAAAACAGACTTAACGGGACGAATCAACTCGCTTTGACAGTTCTAATGGGAATATTATTTAGTCATACAACAAAATGAAGTTTGGACATAGTAATAATAGAATATGTATCTTATTTGTTAGATGAGAGATTGAAAGATGAAGTATAATGATTAAAAATTAATTATTATTTTTCATGATTCACAAAATTTAATAAATATTTATCATCTTGTTGAATAATTCTAAAATCATATTCAATAAATCTTTATAAATTGAAAATTAAACTTATTTGGTAAGCTATATGTATGAAAATATCATAATTTCGATTTAATCTAATTAAATTAAAATTATTTACATGGATTTCAAATCTATTTAATTTACACGACCAAAATAAAAATATCTATTTAATTTACACGACTAAAATAAAAATATCAATTTAATTTATAAAACAGATGGGTTATTTGTGATAAATTTTCTAGAAATCTTTAGAAGCAAATAAAATATTTTTCAATTAATGATAATTGGCTAAAATGAGCGAAATTAATGACAAAAACGTTGATTATTATGGAATTAGTCCCAAAAATATATGAACAAATTTATTATACGTAATTAATGTATAATAGTGATGGAAATATGCTTTTATTATTAGTTACCATAAGTACAATCAGATTTTATTTGATTTCCATAAATATTTGATTTTATTTCGATTTTTCATTATTAATTCGAATTTATATTCCAAAAAATATTCAAAGATCCGATTTTAGAATTTCGGGTCAATTTTCTGATTTTAATCCGACCCATTTTCATTTGTACTTCTCTTTTAATAGTATAGAGATGGTTGGAATGTGATTATGAGACAAATTTTTTATTCACAGGACGATCGGAATATCGTAATCATACGTTTATAAAAATATAAAGAAAATATTATATAAATCCTCATTTGATTATTCTAATACTATCGAAATCAACTAAAGCGTTGAATATGTTTCGGGTACGGCATGGTTTTAGATTAATATCAATGACCGCTTTTATGTATTCTATTCAGCAAAAATCAAAATGAAGTATATAGAGCAAATATTGTTTTTGTTAATACCGCATGCAGCATATACATGAAAAGAAAGCTTGTATTCCAACCAAAGGTTCTAATTAAAAGAACTTTATTTTGACCATCAGAAGTGTTTAAGAAAGTTGTGGTCACCTAATTACTATACTGGTTCTTCAATTTTTTTTTTATCATCACTTAACATTTAAATTTTTCTATGAGAATTGAAAATCGTGTCTTCCTAAATACTCACTTCGTTTCGTTTTAGTTGTCGTTTAAAGTTTTTTCACACAAATTAAGAAAAACATTAAATTTTCTGTTTTACCTTTTATTAATATATTTTATAAAAAAATTCATTGACCACAAGATTAAAACAATAAGGATAATACTGGAATTTTTACCAAATATTTGCATTGAAAACCTAAAACGACAACTAATACGAAACAAAATTTAAATCCTAAAATGACAACTAAAACGAAACGGAGGGAGTAGTAAATACCTATAATTTCAGCATACATGGATTCAACTACTACTCCAATCCCACGTTAATTTTTTTATTTTATTTTATTTTTTTATTTATATTGTTTGCTTTTGTTCGTTTCAGCCGTATCTACACTAGCCATATTAATTTTTTTTTTTTTTTTTTTTTTTTAGCCATATTAATTTAGTTTGTTCCGGATGCTTGTTTGTTTTAGACTATTATCTAGCTGTCACCATTGTTATCATAGAAAAAAAAAAGTTATCATAGGAGACAAGTGTAGTTATACAGTTTTTTTATATGTAACTCACGTGAATATTTATGTTAATGATCATATTACGACAATATAAGAGATCAGATATAATCACTGTGATCTTGCGGATTTGGTTAGATAGATCAGGAAGAAAGATTACACCTGTGGGACACGTGGACAACAGTGGGACAAAGATTTGATCTTTGATTTATTTTCATTATTATATAAATAGTTTGATCTGTGAAGATATGTTCCATGTGTGACATTAGTTATTAAATGCGAGTATGTTCTCTATCGCAGTGGAAGGCTGACAGTGACACATTTCTATTTGTAATGAATAATCTCGATTAGTCCTCATTTGCTTAACTTCAAAAATGAAAGAGTGTTGGTAATAAAGTGCTGGCCAAAAAGGCACGAGCCCCATCATAGTTTTTTTTTTTTTTTCTCATGTAAGCAAATCTTTGCATATACTTTGTCTGTTTTATTTTAAGTTGTTAAAATTTTTTGAACACATATTAAAAAATCACGAAAATCTCATTTTATCGATTTATTTTACATATAACATAACTACAACTAATTCTATAAATAAATAAATAATTATAATATAAAATATAATTAATCAAACAGTATTGAATAAATTAAATTTTTCTATACATTTTTGAAAACATTGAAATGAAACAAAAAAATTATTCAAAGAGAAGTAAAGAATATAGCACCAAAATTAACGTATCATAGTACTCCCTCCGTTTCAGTTTAGTTATCGTTTTAGGATTTAAATGTTGTTTTATAATAGTTGTCGTTTTAGGTTTTCGATGCAAATGTTTGGTGAAAATTCCAGTTTTATCCCTACTGTTTTAATGTTTTGGTCAATGAAATTTTCCATAAAATATATTAATAAAGGGTAAAACAGAAAATTTAATATTTTTCTTAATTTGTGTGAAAAAACCTTAAACGACAACTAAAACGAAACAGAGGGAGTATTAGTTTAGATTCTACTGGTAATTTAATTTAATTTTGTTTCAATAATATAGTCACTGTACTATAGATCGAATCACATTATAAGATTCCAGAATATGATTCGACATTGAAGAGAAAATATATCTTTGTCGGAAATTTTGTTTGGCGCGCGGTGAGTTCGTCGTATAATACTACCATGGTTTCAAAATATTCATTAATTTTGTGATCACACGTTTAAAAACCCACTGAAATGGATGTTTAATGTATAAAATGAATAGTGACTAAAATAATTGACAAAGGATAATAGATACAATTACGTAACAATATCGTATTATTGTATGCCGACAACTTTGATAGCATATCTTCCCATTACATTATTGTCCTTATTCACTTATTTATTCCAGAAAAACCTTAGAACTAACCACAACTGTCTTTTTTTTTTTTTTTCAAATATATGTTGGTTTATGATCGATTTGCGTCTATGATTTGACAATATACCGAACCAATTTAGTTTTGGGGAAGTTATTTCTCAAAAACAGTAAAATCATTTGTGTCTCTTAAATTATGATACTGGTGTTTTTTTCTGTGGCTTCTTTTCCTTTGTCTATAAAATGATCGTTGTAGAAAGACATAAAGAAGAATTTTGTGCCCATTGACATAAAAGAATTTTACAGAAAGAGAAACGATTAAGAAAGATAACGTTTCGAGAGATCAACCAGTAAGGCTCTTGAACAATGTTTTGTGGTTGATTTTTATTCGTGATTTCAACCCCGATATTTTCATCGATTTTCATTCGATTCCATTACAAATTAGTAACCAAACCGATTAAGATATGTGTTCCGATTTAACGCTTCCGCTATAAAAATAACAGTATATATATATATATGTATATATTGTTTTTTCGAAAACCTATTCTTAATTAGAGATATAAGATATAAGCACCGATTATTATTATTTTTTTGGGGTAAAAGTAAAATTGAACTCAAAAACATGATGCAAATAAAATTGGATCTTTTAACCATTACATCTAGTACAACCGCCTTCTCACAAGATGTGATTTTTAAATGTTTGATACATATACATTGTTGAGATCTAAGGTTTAGGCCAAAACCTGACCTGATTGCATATTTAAGACTGTGATTGATTATATTTTATGATTTTTTGATTAAGCTTTGGAATAATTCTCAAGTTTTATTATACCACATCCACTAAGGAAATCCTTTTATACTACCAAGTTCTATTGATTTTTTTTTTAATAACAGGAGGTTATAGGCCAAAGCCTGTAATCTTCCTAAGCCCGAAACTACAGCATGTAATATCAGTTTCGTCCAAAGCGTCACTCGAACCTACGACCTCTAAGCTTCGCCTAGGGTCTTTACCAGTTGAGCTAACGACACTTGGTAAGTTCTATTGATTTGGTCGACTGACATGAAGAAATTACAAAATAAAATCAGGAAGACGATAAGGATCTTAGATTGTCAAGGATCATTTCGTTATCCACCGTATCGGCAGCGTCGACATTGGAAACCAAGGAAGAGAAAGAGCTAAAGTAACACTCAAATCATACATGGTATTAAAGAAATCGACGGTAAAAACTAAAAACCTAAAAGGCAAGATGACATACGAATAACACATGATTTATAGTCTCCTCATCTACGTCGCTCCATAAACAAAGCGAGTCACATAATATCCCTTTGTTAATTAGTCGAACATTGACCACTAAACTCTTTGTATAGGTAGAATTTTGTATCTAACTTTCATAGTATATATTGGAAAAAACGGTCTATTTCCCCATGAGAAGTATGCTTATCACGCCAGATAGAGCTCGTTCTTTGACCTCTGTCTATATGTCCATGAAACGGAAGTTAAACACTTATTTCCCCCCTAATTGGAAGTTCGATATCTTAATCTCCCCGATTCTGAAAGCTGGAGATGTATAACCCCATCGTGCTGGGTTTACTCGGTTTACTGTATATCGAAACCTAATTAAACCGACTAAACCTAATTCGAACCGAAATAAACCTAATTACTACCCGATTACAACCCGATTTCATTCACTTACCCCAAAACGAAATTTCTCGACGAACCCTAGAAACTCAGAATCGAAAATCGAAGCTCTTCGATCTGCTGCTCAAAATCTTGGAGATGTCGGTAGTTCCTCATGATCCTGATGCTCTCGGCGAAGCCGAAGCCGTCGGCGATGTCGATCCTGAAGCTAATGACAGAGATGAATTTCACATGGAAGAGATGCTAAGGGAGTGGACCGACGAACCACCAATCCGCCACGATGTGTACCCGGAGAGTGAGAATGAAGAAAACGACGACGAACCTGGAAGATTTGATACACATGTAAGGCGTGGTGATGGCCATTTGTACTCGAAGCAGAGTTTCTTCAGTGGAGTTGCATTCAAAGAGGCGGTTGTTGATTACGCTCTCAGAACCGGATGCAATCTGAAGCAGTACAGGTATGATAGTGATAAGATTGGATTCAAATGTGTTGGAAATGATGGTAAGGAGGATGGAGCTCGGTGTGAATGGCAAGTTTATGCGGCAATACTTCCGAAGGATCAAATGTGGAAGATTAGGAAATTCATTGACAAACATAGCTGTATCCCAAATGGAGAATGTGAGATGTTTAAAGGTGCCTCATATAGCTAGGTTGTTTGTCGACAAGATTAGGGATAATCCGAGTTCTACATGCCGGCAAAGATTGAAGAAATCATCTTGGAACAATGGAAGATTAGTGTGACTAGGAATCAATGTCAGGCTGCGAGGAAGAAAGCGTTACAGTGGATTGAGAAGGAGTATGATGATCAATTTGCAAGGCTAAGGGACTATGCGGCTGAGATTGTAGATTCAAACAAGGAGTCACATGTTGAGGTAGATTGTCTGACGACTGATGATGGTAAAGACATCTTTAATAGGTTCTATGTTTGTTTTGACAGCCTTAGAAGAACATGGAAGGATTCTTGTAGGCCTCTGATAGGTATTGATGGCTGTTTTCTAAAGAATAAGGTTAAGGGACAGTTACTGGTAGCATTAGGTAGGGATGCTAACAATAGGATCTATCCTATAGCTTGGGGTGTGGTTAAGGTAGAGAACACAGACAATTGGGTTTGGTTTGTGAAGCTGTTGAAAGAGGACTTGGGTTTAAGCAATGGTGAAGGGTTCATCATGATGTCTGATAGACAAAAGGTAACTGCTCTTGTCTTTTGTTGTTTTGTTTTGTCATTTCACTCCTGTCTTAGCTAATGTTTGTTTTTTTTGTTTCAGGGTTTAATCAAAGCTGTTCAGCTTGAGTTACCTAATATAGAGCATCGGATGTGTGTCCAACACATCTATGGGAACTTAAAGAAGACTCATGGTAGTAAAACCAGGATAAAGCCACTGCTCTTGAATTTGGCTTGGGCCTATAATGAAAAAGATTTTAAGCAGCACTTGGAGAAGATATTCTGCTATGACAGTGTTATCTACAATGATGTGATGAAAACAAATCCAAGGAGTTGGTCCAGGGCATTCCAGAAAGTAGGCAGCTTCTGTGAGGATGTTGACAACAACTCAGTGGAGTCTTTCAATGGATCTTTGAACAAGGCAAGAGAGAAGCCATTTGTTGCAATGTTAGAGACTATCAGAAGAATGGCCATGGTAAGGATTGCCAAAAGGTCTGTAGAATCCCATACTCACACAGGTAAGCTTCTCTCTTAATCTCTGTTGTTTACTTAATCTTTGTTGTTTACTTGACAGCTTTTATATCTTTTTTTGCAGGTGCATGTACACCTTATGTTGCCAAGTTTCTAGCTGGTGAACACAAGCTCGCTTCTACTGCCAAAGTATCTACAAGCACCAATGGAATGTATGAAGTGAGGCATGGTTCTGATTATCACCGAGTAGACTTAAAGGCATACACTTGTACATGCAGGAAGTGGCAGATCTGTAGCATCCCGTGTGAGCATGCATATGGAGTCATTCTCTACAAGAAGCTTGAACCTGAGAACTTTGTGTGTCAATGGTTCAGGACAGCAATGTGGAAAAGAAACTACACGGATGGCGTCTGTCCACAAAGAGGACCTAAGTTCTGGCCTGAGAGTCATAGGCCTAGAGTCCATGTGCCTGAGTCACCAGAAGGAGAAGACAACAAGATGACAAAAGCTGAGAAAAAAAGGAAAAAGGGTTTGAATGAGTCTCCTAGTAAGAAGCAGCCAAAGGCAAAGAAAAGAATCATGCATTGTCGTGTTTGTGGGCAAGCTGATCACAATTCAAGACACCATGCTAAAGATAAGGTATGTGAGATTCTTGTTGTGTTTGTGGCATTTGTTGGATTATACTAACACTTGATGTAATTTTGCAGGCTTCTCATTTTGTCTCGCAGCCTTCTCAACCTGAAGCAAGTCAAGGTTCACTCACTCAAGCTTGATCCAAGGAGTAGAAGACTGTCATAGGGTAGAAGAACTAGGGTACTTATATTGTGGTTGTCTCATTGTAATTTTCGACCACATTGTTTCTACGGCTAAATGGATGTTTTGTTTCTACGGCTAAATGGATGTTTAGGATGAATGCTATTTTGAATGTTATCCGGATTCCTCTTTTTCTTTAACTTATTTTGATCAAAATGGCTAATTGGATGTTCTTTTTCTTTAACAAAAGAACAAACAAGATTACTAAATGCATTCTCTTACACATAAATCAAACAAGAGTACAAACATGATCATATTACAAAGACAAAGACATAATTCTCTTACACACTAGTCCACCAAAAGTAGAAACATAAATCCAATCATGATCATATTACAAAGACAAAGACATAAGATATTAGAAAGCTTGGGTTTACATTCATCGGATCATTCATCCTACAAGTTTGGTGAATCCAATCATAATCATACACCCTAACACTACTACAATCATCATCTTCTTATTGCTTGTTTTGGCTTCAGACAAAGCATCTTCCACCTTCTCAAATAACTCCTTCTCTATCTTCATTTGGACATTCTCGGAAACCTTCTTATCAAACTCTAACCTCTCTGTTCTAAGCTCTTTCAACTCCAGCTCAAGTTCACAATTCTTTCCTCTCAATGTCTCTAACTCATTGAGCAAGGCTTCATCAACCCATTTGAAAGTGTGATCATCGTTCCTTAGCTAGATATGAACAGTGATCTTTCAATATTAGAAGAATCTAAAACATGAAAACAGAGGAAATAGAGATTGACATTACCCTATGTTTTGCAGCAAAACCGCAACGAAAGTATCTCCGGTAAGGATTCGGATCGGATTTAGAAATCAATGCCACGATTCCTTCTCCGCACCAGCAGCTCTTTGGCACTCCGACCACTCTTCCTCTTCCACGAGGACCTGTAGAACCCGTCGAACTCGATGATAGATTGCTCATCTTCAAACTCAAATTCGGGTTTTCAAAGAGAAATCGGATTTTAGGGTTCTTGAGTTTTGAATTTGGGGATTTTGAATTTGGGAATTGGGGATTTTTTGTTTGGTTACGACAATGGGTCGGGATGTCGGGTTATAATAAGGAAACCGGTCTGTTTTTTGGTTTGGTTACGACCCATACATAGTTTCGTGTCGGGTTTACACATCAAACCGACGTAACCACGAATCGGGGAGATTAAGATATCGAACTTCCAATTAGGGGGGAAATAAGTGTTTAACTTCCGTTTCATGGACATATAGACAGAGGTCAAAGAACGGGCTCTATCTGGCGTGATACGATAGTTCTCGGGGGGAAATAGACCGTTTTTCCGTCAGTCACCTATTAATGTTTGATGACTAAGCTGCCATTCAACAGTTGACGTGGCGCCTGAATAGTTTAAAACGACGTCGTTTTGGTTATGGTGTATATATAGCCGCAAACCGACATCGTTTATGTATGTAGAATAAATTAAGTTTCAATAATAAGTTTTTGAAAAATTATTCTACATATTCAAAATGATGTTGTTTTGAGTCTATGTATATACCATAGCCAAAACGACGTCGTTTTAGACAATAGATATCACAAAAAAAAACCTTACGTCGAATTTCGGAAGCTGTTTATCCCATAAAAATCGAATGCTCTATATTCTATACCATGATAAATATTATGAAATAAGAATATTATTAGTGTGTTATCGTTTACGTAGTATTCCATAATCCCTTAAAAATACTCCCTATGTTTCAAATTATATGATGTTTTAGAGTTTTTATTTTGTTTCATTATATAGGATGTTTTACAAATTTCTAGACAAACTTTAAATATATTTGATTTTTATGACTACTTGTATTCTGCAGTTTTTATTTTAATTGGTTGAATTTTTTAAATCAAATATTAAATGATAGTAGTTTTTAAAATAAAAAGTAAATTTTTAAAGATATATACTTTTAACTAAAACATCATATATTTTGAAACATAGAGAGTAATGTTTATAAACCCCTAAACATATGCTTTGGAAGGTATTGTCTAGGAGGACTGAATGCTAGCAAGTAGCAAGATCAACGATAAATTCAAAGTTTCTTGCCTGCAGACAACTTGTGTTGTATATAGTCAACAATTGTGTTGCCACATTGGTACTCCAGAGCCAAATGTATTCAATTCATGTATTTTTTTTATGATCGACCCAATTCCAACTTTAATAGATGAAATTATTTAAGATAGTGACCTTTTTCTCTTAAATAAATGAACAAATATTCAAAAAGATTTGGGATTTTCGACACGATTAGCATACGCAACACACTTGGAAGTTTGGACTCTATCCATCAACTTGAAACTTTTCCTTTTAGCAGTATGTCCAATTGACTCATATATAATATTCGTCAAAATTTTAGCCACTTACCATAATTGCCTTCACGATATCTAATTTAACATTTCTAAAAAAATATAATGTAGCAAGGCGTTTTAATTTAACATTTCTAATTTAACATTTCCAGTTTAATTTTCAGTCTGAAGAGGATATGCAAGGCGTTTTGCAGAACGTCCCTTATCATTTTGATGGCTGGATGGTTTCTTTGGTTAAGTGGGAGCCTATAATTTCCGCTACTTATCCGTCAGCAATTAATTTTTGGGTTAAAGTCTCTGATTTACCAATGCACTTGTGGGAAGAAGCAACACTAAAGGCTATAGGAAAAAAAGTAGGTATAATTCGTGAGCTTGATGTGGATTCAGGTAATATCTATGTCACAGTAAATGGTTTTAATCCACTTATGTTTCAAATGGTGGTGCCCTTTGACACAGGTGATGAAGTGGTGGTTTCTTTAGATTACGAGAAGCTGGCTAAATATTGCCACCACTGTTCTAGAATGACTCATGATGTAGCAGTCTGTCCAGAGCTGAATAAGAAGGCGGGAAACAGATTGTTTGAGGAGTATGGGGATAGAAGAGGTGGATCAAGACAGCAACAAATGGTAAAACAGATGCCTCAAGGTAATGAAGGAGGCTGGGAAAAGCCACAAAAACCTGCAGCAAAGAGAGCTTTGGAATTCTCTGGTGAGGAACCTAGTGGTGGTTTCCATTACCAATTGGAGAGGGGTGATAACAGTAGGCAGTCTCACAGGCGGTATGACAAAAATCATGCATCAGGTTGGAAGGAAAAAAAGAGTTTCCCTGGGACTTGGGCTGAGAACAGTGAAGTGGCTGGGAAAGAAGTGGCTATGGAGGGCTTGATGGATTCTCATTACTCTGTTCAGGGAACAGAATTCACAAAGAAGGGTGCAGGGCCAGTGTGGCCTAAGCCACTGTATCAACCAAAGGCAATCTCTAAGGTATCCCAGGCTTCTCACAAGGTTGACAATGTTTCTAAGATTCCAGATTTAGGAGAGGAGAAGAAGGATTCAGTGATGGAAGATGTAACAGAGGTTCAAGACAAGAGCCTTACAGTAGGGATTAATTTCTCGGAGAGTACGGATGATCTCCTTGAAGATGGCGAGTACCATGCTGAGGAGGACATAGAGGTTCAAGTAATGGCAGAGAAGACTACGGAAGATGAAGGCAATGAGACCCATGAGGAGAACATGATTGCCTTACAAGGTAATGTGCAAATCTCTAATGTGTTATCTGATGATATTGGCTTGGTTCGTAAAGGTCTGAAAGGTATAACTCTTGATAGTAAAAAGATTCAGAATTTTAAGGGAACTAGTAGCCAGGGAATTCGGGGAATAAATGGTAATAGGGATTATTCTAGGATTGTGGCTTCTCCAGGGAAACGTTTATTGGCTAAAGCAATGTCTCTTAAATCTGCAGATGATGGTATCAAACAAAAAGTTGCTGATAAGAATAAGGTTAAGGAAGTGACAAAAGCTGGAAGAGCAAATCGTAATTTGAAGAAAGGGATGGTGGATCTCCCGAAACCACCGGCTCATACGTGAAGATCTTGAGCTGGAACTGTCAGGGAATAGGGGCTGAACTGACAGAGAACTTCTTAAAGGATTTATGGAGAGAGCACAAGCCGGATATCTTATTTTTATCGGAAACAAAAAAATGTCTTTCTTTTTTAAAGAAATTTCAAACTTCTTTTGGTTTTAATAATTTGTATTCAGTTGATCCTCGTGGTGTTAGTGGAGGATTAGCTTTATTTTATAATAATGAATTAAAATTGGAGATTCTTTATGCAAGTAATCGAATTATTGATGTTAAAGCATTTTTTGGGAAACAAATAGTGTTTATGTCGTTCGTTTATGGTGATTCTGTTGCCACAAAACGCGAAATGGTTTGGGATAAAATAACAGAGTTGGGTTCTAACCGGGAAAAACCATGGCTAATGGTAGGTGATTTCAATGAGTTGACGGGAAATCATGAAAAAACAGGTGGTAATTTACGATCAGCAGCTTCTTTTGTTCCTTTTAATCTTATGATTCGAAATAACGGTATGTTAGAATTTCCATGCTATGGTGAACAACTATCATGGAGAGGTAATAGGAACCAACAGATAGTCAGGTGCAGACTGGATCGGGCATTGGGAAATGAGGATTGGCATAACTTATTTCCTTATTCAAAAGTGGATTATCTGGATATGATTGGATCTGATCATAGACCGATTTTATTGAGTTGTGGAAAAACTTTGGGTAGAAGAAAACGTCAATTTCGATTTGATAAAAGATGGGTTGGAAAGGATGGCCTTACTGAAGCCATAAATTCAGGTTGGAATCGAACAAGAAATTTTAGAATTCCTGTTTTTGTGGATAAAATAAAGAATTGTAGAAATTCCATTTCATGGTGGAGGAAAAATAATATTCCCACGGGTCAGGCTAATATCTATTCGCTTAAGAGGGCTTTGGAAGAAGCAAAGAATGATGACTCGATTCCACAAGAGGAAATAAAAAGAATCGAAAGTAAAATAAAGGAAGCTTATCATGAGGAAGAAATTTATTGGAAACAAAAGAGCATAAATTTTTGGTTAAAAGTGGGGGATAAAAATACCAAATACTTTCATGCTTCTACAAAAAAAAGAAGGGCAAGAAATAAGATATCAGGTCTATATGGACCTAATGATGTTTGGGAGGAATCAGAAAGAGGGATGGAGGAGATAGCAACTAATTATTTTAAAGAACTTTTTAAGGTCTCCAATACAAATGGAATTGCTGAGATGGTAAATGAAGTGTCTCCAATTATTACGGAAAGTATGAATAGGGAACTAACCAATGAGGTTACCGAAGCAGAAGTTAGGAAAGCTTTATTTTCAATGCATCCAGAAAAGACACCAGGTCCAGATGGTATGACAGCATTATTTTATCAAAGGTTTTGGCATTCTTTAAAGGAAGATTTGGTAGGATTGGTCAGAGATTTTTTCCGAACTGGACGTTTTGATAAGAGAATAAATGAAACAAATATTTGTTTAATTCCAAAGACGGAAAGGCCACAGAAGATGACAGAGTTTAGGCCAATAAGTCTTTGCAATGTGAGTTACAAAATAATTTCAAAAATTCTTTGCTTGAGGCTTAAACACATTTTACCTCGGCTAGTCTCTGAAACACAATCGGCATTCATTTCTGGGAGACTTATTACAGACAACATCTTATTAGCTCAGGAAATGTTTCATGGCTTACGGACTAATAGAATGTGTAGAACGGATTTCCTGGCAATTAAGACAGACATGAGCAAAGCGTATGATAGGATAGAATGGGACTTTTTAGAGGCAATTATGACACGGTTGGGATTCAATTCTAATTGGGTTTCTTGGATCATGTGGAGTGTTAGTTCGGTCTCGTATCAGGTTTTATTGAATGGGGAACCAAGAGGAAATATCATTCCCAGTAGAGGTTTACGGCAAGGTGATCCCTTATCGCCTTATTTGTTTATTTTATGTACGGAGGTACTGATTGCAAATATTAAAAAGGCGGAAAGGGAGAAGAAGCTGACAGGAATTAAGATAGCGAAAAGAAGCCCAGCAATTTCACATCTGCTTTTTGCGGATGATAGTCTCTTTTTCTGTAAAGCGGATTCAGAGCAATGCAAAACGGTGATGGATATTATTGGGAATTATGGTAAAGCTTCAGGGCAAGAGATAAATCTCAGTAAATCATCGGTTATGTTTGGTAAGCGCGTAGCAAACCAAAAAAGAGATCAACTTAAAAACACCCTTGGAATCAGTAAGGAGGGTGGCATGGGTACCTATTTGGGTATACCAGAGAGCTTAGGAGGCTCAAAAAGTAAAATCTTTAATTATGTCCGGGAAAGACTTAATGAACGGATTAATGGCTGGTCAGCTAAATTTCTGTCGAAAGGTGGGAAAGAAACAATGATCAAATCAGTGGCTTTGGCACTACCAACCTATGTTATGTCTTGTTTTAAACTACCTCAAGAGTTAACTTCTAAGTTAACAAGTGCTATTTCTAATTATTGGTGGAGTTCCAATGGGAGAGATCGTGGGATCCATTGGATAGCATGGGAAAAAATGTGTAAGGATAAAGAAGAAGGAGGTTTAGGCTTTCATTCCCTAGACATTTTTAATGATGCCATGTTGGCTAAACAATATTGGCGTTTAATCCAATATCCGAACTCTTTAGTAGCTCGGGTGCTACAAAGCAGATATTTCAGGAATATTCATCCTTTACAGACAAAAAAACCAAACTCTCCATCATTTGGATGGAAGAGTATTTTTTCTACTAAAAGATTAGTTGAAGTGGGAGCTAGATGGTCACTAGGATCGGGTTTCTATCTATCGGTATGGCGAGATCCTTGGATTCCTGATGTTAACCCACGGCCCGCAAATGGAAGAGGAAAAACATTACTTCCAAGTTTGATGGTTAACCATTTAATTAATCCGGTTACTAAAGAATGGCATCTTCCTATTTTACAAGAATTTTTGGATCCAGTGGATATTCAGTTTATTAGGGGATTGGCTATTAGCAAAGTTTATAAGCCAGATAGGCTTATCTGGCATCATACAAGATCGGGAAGATATACAGTAAAATCAGGCTATCGGATTGCTAGAGAGATGACAGAAACGATCGAATGGGGCCCGAATTATAAGAATTTACAAGCACAAGCTTGGAAAGTCAAAGCCCCTCCAAAACTAAAACATTTCTTATGGCAAATTGCTACGGGATCTCTAGCAGTTACTTCAAAATTAGCACATCGAGGGATCCAATGTGACTTTCTCTGTAAAAGGTGTGAGATGGCAGAGGAAACAATAAATCATGCTTTATTTGAGTGCACTCATTCTCAGAAAATATGGGAATTATCAGATATACCTACGGCAATAGGTAGTTTTCCTCTAACCTCGGAATTCTCAAATCTAGATTATCTTTATTGGAGGTTACCATCTAATCTAGATGGGGGGAGAGAAAACTTTCAGTTATGCTTGGATTTTGTGGTTCATCTGGAAAGATAGGAATAAAAAGGTTTTCAAGGAATTACAATCTGAACCCAGAGATATTTTAAATCATGCTTTGAGTGAAAAATTAATGTGGGAAGAAGCTCAGTTGGATCCGATCGAAACTAGTTCTACTACGAAAACTTTGGAACGACCGGTTCAATCTATAAGATGTCGGATTGATGGTTCTTGGAAAAATTCAGATCCAACAATGGGTATAGGATGGTGGTGTTTTCAAGGAAATGATCAAACGATACTGCTCGGTGCAAAGTGCCTTCGGAGGTGTCCCTCCCCTCTTCACTCGGAGATGGAAGCTTTAATTTGGGCTATGAAGAATATCCTTTCAAGAAGGATCGATTGTCAGGTGTTTGAATCAGACTGCTCGGAGTTAGTCTCGATGATACACTCACCGGATGAATGGCTTGCTTTCTCCAATCTTCTAGACGAGTTTGGTTTTCTCCGTCTCTCTTTCCCTTTCTTCTCGCTTTCTCTTATTTCTCGTTTATGTAATGTTCAAGCGGACTGCTTAGTCCGTTCTTCTAGACTTTTATTTTCTGAAGTTATTTTTGTAAACTCTACTCCTCCTAATTGGACAACCAATCAAGGAATTATTTATTAATTAATGTGTGGTTGACAAAAAAAAAAAAAAAAATTATAATGTAGCTTTTTTAAGTTTGTTGAGTCATATATATATATATATATATATATATATATATATATATATATATATTATTTTGAAAAAGAGCTCTATTGTACTTTTTTATATATGATATATTTTTTTTCTTTGCTGAAAAAAAAAAAAAAAGACTTACAAACTAAATTTAAACTCATTCAGTAATTAATATAAGAAAAAAAAAAATTCATTTTAGATATGAATTGTATCTTCCCGAAAATAACGATTCAATTAATCCAAGATTAATAACATTCATGAAATTTTGTTTTTGCTACAACATACATATATTCAGTGTATACAATCAATAGTGCCATATATATAATAAAATAGAAAAAACGAATATCAATAAATAAAAGAATAATTAATTAATTAAACCCACTAACCCAGTAGAGATTGGCCAAGTTGGACCAAGTCAAGTTACGTTACAGAGTCAAACCCCACCACTTGACGCGTTTCTCGCCCCACTTCTTCTTCCTCGCAACTCTTCACTCTGTTTCACACACACATTCTCATATATATATACACACTAACTCTTATCCCCAAATCATAATTCAAAGCTTTTAGATTCAATTTCAATGGCGATCATCAAATCAAACACATATAACAAACCATGTGGCGGTATCACCGTCGTGACTCGTGAAGTGTGGGCGGAGAATCTCGAATCAGAATTTGAGTTAATCAGTGAAATCATCGACGATTTTCCATTTATCTCAATGGACACTGAATTTCCCGGCGTGATTTTCAAATCCGATCTCCGATTTACAAATCCCGCCGATCTCTATAGTCTTCTTAAAGCTAACGTGGATGCTCTTAGTTTAATTCAAGTCGGTCTCACTCTCTCTGATGCTAACGGTAACCTCCCAGATCTCGGTGAAAATCACCGAGGATTCATCTGGGAGTTTAATTTCCGAGACTTTGATGTGGCGCGTGACGCACACGCGCCTGATTCGATCGAGTTACTTCGTCGGCAAGGTATCGATTTCGAGCGGAATTGTCGCGACGGTGTTGATTCGGAGAGGTTTGCGGAGTTGATGATGTCGTCGGGGCTTGTTTGTAATGAGGATGTGAGCTGGGTGACGTTTCATAGCGCGTATGATTTCGGTTACTTGATGAAGATTCTCACGCGCCGAGAATTGCCTAGCGCGTTGGGTGAGTTTAAGCGCGTGATGAGAGTGTTGTTTGGTGAGCGTGTGTATGATGTGAAGCATATCATGAAGTTTTGTGAGAGGAGATTGTATGGCGGTTTAGACCGGGTTGCAAGAACGCTTGAGGTTAACCGGGCGGTTGGGAAATGTCATCAAGCCGGTTCGGATAGTTTGCTTACGTGGCATGCGTTTCAGAGGATGAGGGATTTGTATTTTGTTCAAGATGGGCCGGAGAAACATGCTGGGGTTTTGTATGGGCTTGAGGTTTTTTAAGGGGCTTACTTTTTTTTTTTTATAATTCAAATTCAATTAATTAACTCAATTAATCTTTGTAGTTAATGAATGTTCTTTGGAAAGAGGAAATATATAAAAATAAATAAAGATAAATTTTAGAAATTGAAAACTCCTGTTGTTAATCCATATTAAAATCTTATAAATGCATATGAATTTGAAACTATAAATTCAAGTGAATTCATATGAATATAAATTATTTTCAAATATATATAAACTAATAAACCACCTAAGCTTTTAGCTGCAGCAAAGATTACCTCAAATGCCAAAACATGTATAAACACTTATGATAAAAGCCAAATCAACAAACACATGAAAAAATGCTCGAAACACTAGTGATGTGTTGTTCTGATGACTTTTTTTTTTTAACGATGACGTATAAAAACATGACCAAAATTTTTGGTACCAAACCACACAAAAAAGCCAGAAACAAAAGAAAATGGGGTCTCTAACTTCATAATATCCATATAATCAGAATTTTTAATCATTAATAAATGTATACCAACTAGACCGCGGGGCTATACTTAAAAAAAAATATAATGTTATTTTATTTAAGATTGACTGAAGATTTTTTTTTTGGTAGGGTGGGGGAGAGACAAAGGCTCGCTCCTCTTTTTATTAGTGCAAAAAATTAAAATTATATCCGCACATTTCGTGCCTTCGTCGACCCGCTAGCATCCTCTAAACAAATCGAGACTACACAATCCGGTCTAGAGTCTAACATATGAAACCCAAAAGGTAGAGAGATAGCATAGTTCGCTAACCCGTCAGCAAGACGGTTAGCTTCCCTATAAACGTGAGAAATTCGGACTATCCAGTCCTTCGACAGAAAGCCATAGCACATTTAACTGAAGATATATCATATTAATTTGTATTTTTAAATGTAGATATCTATCTATCAATTTTTGAGTATAGATACGAAAACGTTTTGAGTTTTTTTTTTAATTTAAATAAAGCAACGGCTTAAATGTTGATAGATATAGTTTTTTTTCCTGTGTGTATATGATTGTTCTATGTGAATATTTTGATTATTATAAATTAGTATTTTTACTGCTATGCAAAATGTTAATATAAATATTTGTTACAAATGTTTTTTGAAGATATAAGGAAAGATTGTGTAGAGATTTTTAGAAACAAATTAGGCAAGATATTGTTTGTTTAATATCTTTTATTTAAATTTTGTAAAACTAATAATAAATGTCAATGACATGGACTTGTAAATACTTAGGAACTCTAAGATTTATTTGTTAAGTGTACTCCAAAAATGTATATATAGATATCTATTTAGGCGATTTATGAAAAAAATAAATCTATTTCGACTTTTTTATCCTAGTATTTTTTATTTTATTTTTTCCACTTATATCCCCAAGCATAATCTAGTTGTAGAAACAAGGAACGATTGAACTTTTTTTGAATGTTTGGAAAAAACATAAGAATATTTATAATTATACATAGTCAACTAAAAGTTTTTTTTTATAATTAGATATAGTTAGATACGGAAAACTTAATTCTACCCAATTCTCCAAGCATTTTTATACCTAGCTAGTAGTATTCACAAATATCCGATATTATTCCAACAATAATTGAGTGAAGCTTTGTTGGTGAAAAAGAAAAAAAGAGTAAAATAAATACGAACTTTGATTTTGTAGAAAACCCAATCACATGCGTTTGTCTATATGGATCTATATTTTGTGTCTGTGAGAACACATTAATTAGTTTTCACTTCAATATAAAAGGAATTGGAGAGTTAGGCAAAAAAACAAAACAAGAAAATGTCTGTCTTCCTTTGTTTCCTCTTACTCTTCCTTCTCTCTTTAGTCTTCTTTAAAAGGCTTTTACCGTCGAAAGGAAAGCTTCCTCCTGGACCTACGGGTCTACCGATCATCGGAAACTTACACCAGCTTGGAAAGGTTCTTCACCAATCTTTTCACAAAATCTCCCAAGAATATGGACCAGTGGTGCTTCTCCATTTCGGGGTAGTCCCAGTGATCGTTGTCTCCTCCAAAGAAGGAGCTGAGGAAGTGCTCAAAACTCATGATCTTGAGACTTGTAGCCGACCGAAAACAGCCGCGGTTGGCTTGTTTACTTACAACTTTAAAGACATTGGTTTCGCTCCCTTTGGTGAGGACTGGAGAGAGATGAGGAAAATCACAATGCTTGAGCTCTTTAGCTTGAAAAAACTCAAGTCTTTTAGGTACATTAGAGAAGAAGAGAGTGAATTGTTGGTCAAGAAATTATCCAAATCTGCTGACGAGTCAGAAACCTCATTAGTTAATTTGAGGAAAGTCTTTTTCTCCTTCACAGCAAGCATCATTTGTAGACTTGCCTTTGGACAGAACTTCCACCAGCGCGATTTTGTTGATATGGAGAGAGTGGAAGAGTTGGTGGTTGAGTCAGAGACCACCCTAGGCACCTTGGCGTTCGCCGATTTCTTCCCTGGAGGATGGCTCATAGACCGGATATCCGGTCATCATTCGACGGTGCACAAAGCCTTTTCCAAACTCGCCAATTTCTTTAAACATGTAATCGATGATCATTTGAAGACTGGACCTCAAGATCACTCGGACATCGTTAGTGTCATGTTGGATATGATCAATAAACCAACAAAAGTCGATTCTTTCAAAGTCACTGATGACCATCTCAAAGGAGTCATGTCTGTGAGTACAAATACTTTTAGAGTAAAATCTTTTACATTTCTAACTTGAATAACAAGATTACTATACCTTAAGAAGCAAGTTAACTTAAGGTATAGAAAAATATCTCGTTTTGATAGGTATTGTGTGATTTGAGCAGGATATGTTTTTGGCTGGAGTGGATGGGGGAGCCATCACGTTGTTATGGACAATGACAGAGCTAAGCAGACATCCGAGAGTGATGAAGAAACTCCAAGAAGAGATACGAGCAACTCTTGGACCCAACAAAGAGAGAATCACAGAAGAAGTTCTAGAAAAAGTTGAGTACTTGAAACTGGTGATCATGGAAACATTCAGATTACACCCACCAGCTCCTCTCTTGCTCCCAAGACTAACTATGGCTGACATCAAGATTCAAGGCTACAACATTCCCAAGAACACCATGATCCACATCAACACGTACACGATAGGACGTGATCCTAAATACTGGAAAAATCCCAGTGAGTTCATCCCCGAGAGGTTTCTCGATAACCTTATCGAATATAACGGCCAACATTTTGAGCTATTGCCGTTTGGATCCGGACGTAGGATCTGTCCTGGAATGACCACGGGGATCACCATCGTCGAGCTCGGCCTTCTTAACCTTCTTTACTTCTTCGATTGGAGTTTGCCCAATGGAATGACCACTGCAGACATTGACATGGAAGAAGATGGAGGTTTCGCTATGGCCAAGAAAGTCCCTCTTGTGCTCATACCAACTTCTCATCGCTGGTGAAAAATGTAAAAGTTCAACTGAGATCAAGATTTCTATATGTTTGTTTACTTTACTATCATCGGTTTGGTTTTTGTGTTTTACGTTTATCATGTCTTGTAATGGTTATATTTCAATTCATGTTTAGAATTATGTTTTAATAGTGTCTTCAATAAAACTTACGTTTAATATCTAACCTATCTAACATTAGTTGTATATTTCAATTTTTGTTGAAATGGTCTTTTAATTAGAAATCCGTAAGTTTGTATTTTAGTGACTTAAAATGTTACGTAGAATCTGTTGTTATTCAATCAAGATTTTTAAAAAATTTGTTAAAGTTTGGTGTTACTAGTTTAAGATTTATAAAAAGTAATCTAAAATCTTCATAAATATGAAGTTATTGGATTCATACTTTTATAAAGTCAATAAAAGTTTTGTGTTATTCAATTAAAACAAAAGTATCTATGATTGTTAATGAATTAAATTAATACTAGATCATCACCCGTACTACAGTACGAGTTGAATTTCATTTATTACAAAATTTATAAATTTTATGTTTTATAATAAAGTTGTGATATATTATAATAGTAAGTGAAAAAATAATATTTTTTGTCAGTCCCTATATATAATATTAGAATGAATATATTTTATTTTTTCTATAGTATTCAATTATGGATTTTTTTTTTAAGATATGAAAACGGAAAATAAGATTATTTTTAAAAAAAATTAAAATTGTTTTAACAATGAGTTAATTTATGTTAACAACCACAAAATCAGAGTGCATATAATTTAGTTAGATCAAAAATTTAAATATCATAAATGAATCGCATCTAAAACGTATATTATTTTGAATTACTTAAGAAAATTAGCTATTATTTTGAATTAATTTAGAAAATTATTTTTTCAAATTCTGATTCATTGGTTGTTGAAATAGAGATTTGTTTGAGCTAATTACGGAATTTACCTATTATTCACATAATCAAATATGTTATGAACATATATTTGGTATATAATAATACCAAATTCAATCCGTGTGTAGTCTATATTTTCATTTTACAATCCGTATGAAAATATTGCGGCGCAATCTATTATTTATTATTTTCAAAATTGCTTGCAGAATCAAATTTTCAAATATTTAGAAGTGTCAAACCTTATTTAACTCATCTCATCATAAAATCTTAAAATGCCGTCTGTTATAAGGATCATAACTTTCTACCATATAATACATTACATTTAACCCGCCGTCTACTATAAATATTTTAAACATATCTTTTTAGAAAATCAAATTAATGTATTTATAATTTTTTTTATCTTTTAATCTATTAAATATTTATGATATTCTTTAATATATTAAATTAAACTATTTTAAAATGTTGAAAATTAAAATCCTTAAATTCTTTTATTGTATTATGTAAAATTATGAATTTTAAAAAAATGATATGAAATTAAATATAAATATTCAAATAGTTATAAGGATCATAACTCATTTCATCGTATAATATATTATATTCAACCTGCCGCCTATTATAAATATTTGTTTCAAAAAATCAAATTAGAGTATTTATACTTCATAAATTTTTGATTTATTAAGTATTGATGATATTAAAAAAAAAGGAATATATTACTCAAATATGAATTTTTGACCCGTTAAATTTGTTCTTTCATACATTGAATAATTTATATTCGTTTTTAAAATTCAAATCTTGGTATATGCGGAAACAAATTTACTTTTTTTTTATTATTATATAGATGATATAATGATTTATTTATTTATAGAAATAGAATCATATAAAGATGAGAGGTGAAGTATAATAATTAATAACAAATTAATATGGTAAGTTAGATATCAAATCTTATATGTTCATTTTGATTGGTCATTCTTTTTAAAGAAATTAATAATAGATTTTCGTTTTTATAATTAAATTAAATTAATTAAATTGCATAAAATAGTATTTGACTTGTTTATCCTTAATTAGTTGAATTAATTTACTCTATAAAATTTTATTTCTAATGGCATTCTTAAGTAAATTCTTACAAAAAGGAAGGTTAATTAAGGGTAATCCATAAATTGTACTCCCCAAATAATAGTATAGGATTATGTTATTGGTTTATGATTTTCTACATTTTTTTTCACAAATTAAAGTCATGAAAATATCATAAAAAAGATAGATTGTTTGGAAAACTTTACAAAATTATGAAAAAATAATTAACAAAATTATAGAAAACTCTCTAGCAATTGTTTAAAATCTTTCATTTGTTTACTTTATATGATTTGTTAAAGTCATCAAGATTCCTTGTAAATTAGGAACCAATAACATCCCTTTAGGGTAATTTCTTATGTGAGATTCAAGGAAGAGGAAAAAAAGCCTTACTTTAGTACAAAAACTTAATCACAACTGAAATGTTATATAATCATTGGCTTTCATTGTAGAAGACCAAAACTGTGGAGTCCAAACTTTTAGTTATTTGTATTTCTATTTTTTTTAATTTGATGCTCATTTTTGTCAATTACCCCAAATTTAACAAGTTAGCTAATCCGTGTCGAGATTTTATATGGGCCTAGTTGGGCTTTAATCAAAATGTTAAATATGGAGGCTTATCAGAAAGAAAGTAAATGTAAAGATAATTGTGGTAGGTATGTGTTTAGCCCAACATTTTTTTTCCATACTCCAAATCTACTGTTAAAGAATAAATTCATATATTTTGGGAGAATTCATAAGTGTAACTGTGTAAGAAGCAAGTTCTTGCCTCCTTTTATTCTCTCTTGTTTCTCCAATGGCGGAAACTCAGAAAACTTCTTATCAGGAACCTCGGGGTTGTCCATTGGTTGAACTTCTTGTAAGTGTCTTTACCTTTACCTCGAGAATTTTCAAGTTTTTTGTATAAATAAAATCGATGTTATTGTTGACCGAAAAAAAAAGACTCGATAAGATTTACGATACATGGCATGTAAGTGTGAAGATATATGTTGAAATGGTGCTGAGATCTTCCGGTGATGTTTTCTTTGTTTTGGCTTCTATGAATTTAAGGTTCAAAGTATTGGGGAAGTCTTATTTGGGAATTAGTTGCCGAGATAGGACTTTGATTTTTTTTATATCTTAACTTTTTGGAATTTATTGTTTAACTAGAGTAAGCAAAGTGAGATTATGATGCTAATTGTAATTTTCTTTTGTCAGTTTCGGTAATTCTTCTGCCAAGTTTAATAAATCTGTGGAATGGTTACATTTCCATAGGTTTTGTCTAATCTTGTCTTACAATTACATGAAGAATAAAACTGATCCTAATGCTGAGAAGGAAGGACTGTTTGTGTTAGCTATGTGTACTTGTCTACAATGATCTAATCCGGGTTTAGGTGATAAGGCAAAGAAATTGATTGATTTGATTTGCCAAGCAGAGGAGGATGGTAATCTTATAGATCTAACTGTGGCAGCTAATACTTTTAGGGGTATATGATACAACACTCGGGTTATGAGAATTAGATTTGATACTAAAGGTGGAGTAACTGAGCAAGCATATCATCTCAATATCACATTTGCATTCTTCATGTTGCGAGTAACCATACCCTGTGATAAAGTAAGATCAAAGTAAACATATATATGAAAGCCTAAAGATGGAACATGACTTTATTTAGTCACTTAAAGTTTGACCAAAGTAAACATACCCTGCATTAACATTTCTCTGCAGGTTGCATTTATAGTTTGAACATTGTTTTCATCATATATATATAGGAAGACATACAAAACTTAGTAGTTGCAGAGAAACTTCTTGTCTTGTTTATGCTTCATAACCAACACAAAGAGTCTTATCAGAGAAAACAAACATGGCTGATACTGTGTTTTGGTTAAAGTAATATATCTTCTGTTTAGGAAACTTGTCAATAAAGAAGGACAAAATTTGCAAATCAAACAATTATAAAAAAACTAAAGTTTCCATTAAAATCGGCACTAATACATTGAATACTCTTTTCTACCAGATCAAAATACATTCATAATACTAACAAGAAGATAAAGCATAAACACTAAGAAGTGTTTTCATACAGATTTAAGACATAGATACTCTCGGCATCAAGACGAAGCCACCAGAAGGCGGAAAATAAGGACCAAACATCGGTCTTAGCAGCGGAAACGGTGGTGGAGGCGGCGGTGGTAGCCCGTAGGAACTTTTCATCATCAAATGATGAATCATATGCAGCTTTTGCTTCAAACGATCTGATATAACTCTATAGCCAAGCCCAAACACAACCCCTTCAGATTCTTGCACATTGTTGCAGATCTTAGCCATCTTAGCGAAAACCCTAGCCGTTAATTCGCTATCCGAACCCGCGTGGTGTGCAGTACCAACACGGTTAAGTCCCAACTCATGAGCTAGACTCTCCAAACCAAGTCTGCTACTTAGTCCTAGGCATCGACCAGCCATGACTTTCAAATCGTAAACAGAACCGAGAATTCTCGCCACCGCTTTCGAAAACCTCTCAGAAGTAAAGGGTAAATCTTCTCCGGTGAAACACTTGAGTAAATAAGCGATATCGTAATATCCATGAAACGTGACCCAAGTGATATTCCTCGTCTTCTTCAAAATCCAAAACAGCTCCGAGAAAAAACCCTTGATTCCGATACCTTCTTCTCTAATCTTCCTCAGATCAAGACCGTTGCGCCTAAGGAACTCGATGGATTTCTCGTTTCTAGCATCGTCAACTCCGAAATCTGAGAAATTGATTTCCCAAGTTCCTCCAATTCTTCCATTGATGTCGAACAGAGTAAGACCTAACTGGATCAGTTTTGTTCTGTCGACACTAAAGCTCATGTCGTTGTAACGTTCGTCGTCTGTTGCGTCTTGTGAAGTTTGTCTTAAAGAACCTGGAAACTCTGTGTCGATTGCAATGAAACGGTAGTTTCGTAGACAATCTTCGATCAAACTCATCTCTTCGTTTCGATTCCAACTCCAGATTTCACGACACTGTTTGTTTTTCATCTCTGACATCGTTTTTTTTTTTTTGGTTCAAGCGAGAAGAGAGAGAAATTATCTGAGAAAAGGAAAATAATTGTGAAGGAGAGTCTTGGGACTCAAGCTTATTATATAGAGTCTTTGACTGCAAGTCCGCAAGAGTCTTGGATTTAATTTTATTAGTGATTTGGATTTTGGAAAAAGGAAATTTCCTTTTCTTTCGAAGTTCCTTTGATATTATTATTATCGTTTGGTAATTTTCTGATAATTACACTTTTCAGATATTTAAAAAATTTTAAATACAAATTTCTCTTTACAAAACCTAATTAAATGAATCGAGCCAGGTTGGAAACTTTTTTTTTCTTTAATGAAAGTTTATTTATTTTGGTTATTGTAAGATATAAAAGTAGCCATCACTTTGAGTGTCATTAGACTTAAAAGTCAAAATATTATAAAATAATGCAAAAATTTGAGATTATTATTTTAATAGCTAAAGAAAAATTAAACCTATTTTAAAACATATTTCATCACTATATTAGTGTGATAAGACCCAAAATGTTTTAAAAAGGCAAAAATTCAAAATTAAAAAATTTCATTTTTTTATTAGTTAAATGAATCGTTCCAATGAAATCTAATTTAAGATAAATATCTCGGAAAATAAATACTATATTTGCGATTGTAGCTGTCATTGCTAATATGTTGAATTTAGTCGCTAAATGCGTTAGCTGTATCTACAAAATTAAGACTGTCAGTATCCTAAAATTCAAAATAACTTTTTAACAGTTTAATATGTTATTGATTAATTTTGGTATATATCAATTGCAAATATCGAAGATTTCTTTGACACCTGTAAAGTTTCTGTTTCAATTAATTTATGATAATTTTAATTTGTTTTGGGAAACACTAATTGGTAAAAGAAGAGCATATATAAAATGTCAGTATTTTTTGGATTATTTGGTACATTTAAAAAGACTTAGATTTTGATACAATGGGTATCCGACCTGTTTACAAATGCAAGACTTAGATTTGACAGAGAAGGTGGAGTAATCAAATCATATCAATGTCACATTTGTTGCCAGTAACCATATCCTAATTAAGTATTCTTTTGTCTGTTCTAACTTCTAAGTGACCCGGTTGCAGAGAAACTTCTTGTCTTATTTATGCTTCACTAATTTATGACCCAACACAAAACATGTCTTGTGATAGATAACTTTTTGAGCTCTCAAAGATACTTACCAGAGAACACAAACATGGGTGATAATGTAGTAGATACTAGATAAGACTACAAAGGCAATATATCTTCAGTACTGTAGGAAACTTATCAGGAAATAAGGACAAAGTGTTTGTATTAAACAACTATAAAAAACTAAGGTGGTGTTATTCAATGATGAATTTTAATAGAATTGAAATCCAATACTAATCTAGTGTTATTCAACTGATGATTCCAAATCTAACTTTAAAATCTGGTGTTATTGGATCTTATACTTCATTAGATTTTAATAGTTTGGTGTTATTCAACTAAGATTTAAAATACTTCATTAAAATCCAGTGTTATTCAAAACTAAAAGACTTGTAAAATCTTTGTATATTAAATCATTTGAAATGAAACCTCTTTGGAGTTTCATCAGTAAATTATAGAATCAAAATCCAAGATATACTGCAGAGATTTTGAAATTCATACAAACAGAATTGACTTTAAAAACAATATCAGAAAGCAAATCTAAACCTTAAAGAATTGACTTTAACTCCATGATTGAATAACACCTCCTAAACTTTCCATTAAAATCGGCACTAATACATTGAATACTCTTTTCTACCAGATCAAAATACACTGACAATACTAACAAGAAGATATACTAACACATCAAAGCATAAACACTAAGAAGTATTTAAGACAGAGATACTCTCGGCATCAAGACGAAGCCACCAAAAGGCGGAAAACCAGGTACAAACATTGGTCTTAGCAGCGGAAACGGTGGTGGAGGTGGCGGTGGTGGTCCATAGAAACTTGTCCTCGTCACATGGTTCATATGCTGCTTTTTCTTTAAATGATCTGATATAACTCTATACCCAAGTCCATAAACATGGCCTTCAGATTCTTGCACATTGTTGAAGATCTTAGCCATCTTAGCGAAAATTTGAGCCGTTAATTCTCTATCCGAACCGGCATGGTGTGCAGTACCAACACGGTTAAGTTCTAACTCATGAGCTAGACTCTCCAAACCAAGTCTGCTACTTAGTCCTTGGTGTTGACCAGCCATGACATTCAGATCATAAACAGAACCGAGAATTCTGGCCACCGCTTTCGAAAACCTCTTAGGAGTATACGGTAAAGCTTCTCCGGTGAAACACTTGAGTAAATAAGCGATATCGTAATATCCATGAAATGTGACCCAGGTGATATTCCTCGCCTTCTTCAGAATCCAAAACAGCTCCGAGAAAAAACCCTTGATTCCGATTCCTTCTTCTCTAATCTTCCTCAGATCTAGACCGTTGCGTCTAAGGAACTCGATAGATTTCTCGTTTCTAGCATCATCAACTCCGAAATCTGAGAAATTGATTTCCCAAGTACCTCCAATTCTATTAGGGATAATATTATCCCACACTGGAAAGGATAAGGGATCTTGACTAGTATATAAGATATATGGGTCTCTCCACTCATTGCCAATTGGTTTTGAGTTGGAAGCCCATATTCTAATATGGTATCAGAGCCCAATCCGTACATGTCCAAATCTAATCCACCATCGGCCCGACCCAATAGTTGGCCCGCCGATCCATGCCCGAGCATACCGAGATCAATGGCTAGAGCCATCATCTCGAGGGGGCGTATTAGAGATAATATTATCCCACACTGGAAAGGACAAGGGATCTTGACTAGTATATAAGATATATGAGTCTCTCCACTCATTACCAATTGGTTTTGAGTTGGAAGCCCATATTCTAATAAATTCTTCCATTGATGTCGAACAGAGTAAGACCTAACTGAATCAGTTTTGTTCTATCGACACTAAAGCTCATGTTGTTGTAACGTTCGTCGACTGTTGCATTTTGTGAAGTTTCCCTCAAACAACCTGGAAACTTTGTGTCGATTGCAATGAAACGGTAGTTTCGTAAACAATCTTCGATTAAACTCATCTCTTCGTTTCGATTCCAACTCCAGATTTCACGACACTGTTTGTTTTTCATCCCTAACATTGTTTTTTTTTTTTTTTTTGGTTCAAGCGAGAGAGAGAGAGAGAGAGAAATTATCTGAGAAAAGGAAAATAATTGTGAAGGAGAGAGTCTTGGGACTCAAGCTTATTATATAGAGTCTTTGACCGCAAGTCCGCAAGAGTCTTGGATTTAATTTTATTAGTGATTTGGATTTTGGAAAAAGGAAATTTCCCTTTTTTTCGAAGTTCCTTTGATATAAAATTATCGTTTGGTAATTTCTGATAATTTCAGATATTTAAAAATTTTAAAGACAAATTTCTCTTTACAAAACCTGATTAAATGAATTTAGCCAGGTTGGAAACTTTTTTTTTTCTTTAATGGAAGTTTATTTATTTTTGTTTATTTTAAGATATAAAAGTAGTCATCACTTTGAGTGTCATTAGACTTAAAAGTCAAAATATTCTAAAATAATGCAAGAAATGGAGATTATTATTTTAATAGCTAAAGAAAAATTATACCTGTTTTAAAACATATTTCATCACTATATTAGTGTGATAAGATCCAAAATGTTTTAAAAAGGCAAAAATTCAAAATTAAAAAATTTCAATTTTTATTAGTTAAATGAATCGTTCCAATGAAATCTAATTTAAGATAAATATCTCGGAAAATAAATACTATATTTGCGATTGTAGCTGTCATTGCTGATATGTTGAATTTAGTCGTTAAATGCGTTGGCTGTATCTACAAAATTAAGACTGTCAGTATCCTGAAATTCAAAATAACTTTTTAACATTTTAATATGTTATTGAGTAATTTTGGTATATATCAATTGCAAATATCGAATTTGACACCTGTAAAGTTTCTGTTAATTGATTTATGATAATTTTGATTTGTTTTGGGAAACACGTAATTGGTAAAAGAAGACCATATATAAAATGTCAGTATTTTTTGGATTATTTGGTACATTTAAAAAGACTAATTAAAAAGATATATATTTTTTTATATCACAATTGACGACTTAAATTGGAGTTAGATGGAAATCTTGACGGAGTTAACATCCGAATATTTTATTTATTTATTTAGTGCATGATACTATACATTATCTATTTCTGGTGTGGGTAAAAAATACATTTTAACTTGGATGTATATGAGCTATATATACTTCATCTATCTCACAATAAGTTTGAGCTTTTCCTTCACAAATAAATGCCAATAGACCCAACAACTCTCTTCCCAGACCGCCACCACATCTTAGGTAATCAACACAACTTTCTAATTTTTAGATAACTGCAAAAGTGATGTTACATGATTCATGTTTTATTCGAATCGAACGACCTCACCTTTCTTGCAAGAAGATTATTTGATTTGTCGTCATCAACTTTTCCTAATCAAAGGTTGCATATATTATTGGGCTTTCTAAGCCCATTCCAACTCCTCCATTAGTATGATATTGTCCGCTTTGGGCCTACATGCTCAAGCCCGCACGGATTTGTTATTGGACTTCTTCCCAAAAGGCCTCATACTAGGTTGGAGTTGGACTTGGTTTATATATTAGAAACTTTTTTTCTAAATTTCCGATGTGGGACGTTGGTTTGTACCCAACAATCTCCCCTTCAAACCACGGACCACGAACATTGGGCCTCCTCAGCGAGGCCTAGGCACCCTAACTCGGCACCTTCTTATTCGCGAAATTCTTAAGAATGCACCTTCTTATCGTGTCACATTTAAGGGCTTCTCCCACACCGATCATAGGTCCCAAGCCCACTCCTCTAGGTCCACATTTTTCAATGTAGGCTCTCATACCATTTATTGGGCTTTCTAAGCCCATTCCAACTCTTCCATAAGTATTGTCCGCTTTGGGCCTACATGCTCAAGCCCGCACGGATTTGTTATTGGACTTCTTCCCAAAAGGCCTCATACTAGTTGCAGTTGGACTTGGTTTATATATTATAAACTTCTTTTTTAAACTTCCGATGTGGGACGTTGGTTTGTACCCAACATATATTACTAATTCGAAGAGAAATAATGTCGGAAGCCAAGTCATAGAAAAAGGGGGAAGAGTATGTAGAAGATATCCAGTTAATTTATAGAATTACACCAAGAGAGCATGATGCCAACTTCGGAAATACACTTGTTATAATACGTTGATCTGATCCCGAGCTTGCAAGTCCACCATGTTGAGGACAATTCAAATCCATTAAACTGTAATCCTAGTATGATAAGGAAGTCATCCCTCCCTTTATATATATAGAACTTAAGATGTCATCTCGCCTCTTTATCAAAGAAATTGCCACAACATTTTTCTCAAAGCCGTGACTATTTTGCTGAGATCGTCATTGCCATCGCCATTCTATGTCAATGTCGCGTGACCCAAGGAGCTTCTTCAAACTGTGGAGGAGGGAAAAGAGGGATAGCCGCAAGACATAACCACCATTGTCGTCGTTTAATCATCGGAGAAAGAGCAGGTTGTTGTCGCAATCCGACATCAGCAGAGGAGCTTTAAAGGTTGTATGCATATACACTAGTTTTGTGGGGCCCCATTTTCTTGGTTCCCTATATCTTGGTTCATTTATAAATTTTTTTTGTAAACATTAAATAAGATATGGCTCGTAAAGTAACGTTGAAAAAACATTTGAGTGGATTCTGGGCCTGATTGGTAATAACCATACCTTTATATGTTTTGCTATGTCTGTAGGTTTATTTGATGTGACTATAGATTTTATTGCTGTGGCATTTTGGCTGTAGAATTTAAAATTTTAGAAAGTTGAAAATTGTGTGTTTTAGAAAAAAATGCTTTATACAGCCAAAACAAAAGAATTAAGAAAATAAATTGGGAGTAAAAAAATAAAAGTTAAACCTTCTAAAGCTTGATTGGATCCATTTCAAAGCTATAGAAATTAAGGTTTTCATAGTATAAATTCATCATTTAGTTACTTGTAAAATTTGCTAGTTCTTTAATTAGATACCTGTTTATTCCAATTACCCAAAATTTAACAAGTTATCTAATTCGTCTCGGGATTTTTCTATGGCCTAGTTTGGGCTTTAATAGTATGTTATACTAGAAAGAAAGTAAATGTTAGGATATTGTCTTAGTATGCTTTTAGGCAAACATTTTGTTTCCTTACTCTTAGTCAACTTTGAAAGAATATAATCAATATATATTGGGAGAATTCATAAGTGTATAATTTTTTATTTTTGTGAAAAACCCAAACGGGGAAGCAAAGGTAGAAAGTTTTCCTAACACATAATTGATTACAGTGAGAGAAATAAGCAGACCTTACAACAAGGACACCATAGATAGGATAGACCCATAGAACTCGGAGACAAAAACTAGAAAGCAACTTGCCACAAGCGAGAATATGGTGTGTCAAAGACACTTTCACGAATATTTCGGGAATTTTCGAAATAGTCACAATCAACAGATTTTTTGACGTTGAGAAAGGATGCTTAGCGTCATGAATCGCTGGCACGAGACACGTTGAATAAGCTTATTAAGGATCTTGTAAGGTTCTTCTCCATAAAGGAGTGAAGCAGACCCAAGGTTCTCTCCATTACGGGGAATTTTGGATGCCGAGGACCCTCGAGGTCAGATAAGAGTGAAGCCCAAACAAGAAAAACAATAGCAGAACTCACTGTGGGGAAACTTCTTATCAGGAACCTCGGGGTCATCTATTGGTTAAATTTCGTGTGAGTATCTTTAGTCTTTACCTTTATCTCCTCAATTTTCAAGTTTTTTTTTTTAATAGATTCAATGAGATTTACGATACATGGCCTGTATGTGTGAAATATTTATGATAAATTGGTGTTGAGATATTCTTCACGTGATATTTTTTCCTTTGTTTCGGCTTCCATGAATTTAACGTTTGCATTATTAATATATGACTAGGAGAGTATCCGCGCTACGCGCGGGAGTTTGTTATAAATTTTGTTTTAATATTTTTTTAAAATTTATTTAAATTTATATGTATATATTATTAGATTCCTGTATTTTTACAAAAATTATGTATTTGTCTAATTTTATTTATTTATTTTTTTAATTTATTTTTGTATATCGTTGCATGTTTGAGACTAATATATACATTTTTTAAAAAAATTTCTCATTTAGCTTTTAAGATATATTTTAATATTATTATTATTATTATTTTAGTACAATAACTATACAATTTGTAATTTTATATGGAGTTTATCAACTCTAATTGAAATGTTTTGTTTTTTTTTAGTTAGAACAATTTATTTAATGTAAAAAGAAAACCAAATATCCTGAAAACTTTAAACTTGAATGTAAAACAAAATGATTGGCTCGAAAAGACAATGTCCACAGTTGTATTGAAGTATTTGTATAAGAAAATTGCTTTTTAAACTCCATTTTCTCTTGATCTCCATTTTTTGTCCCTCCACTTTAACTGATTGTAGTAGTTGTTGTCGGCTTCTTGTTGGGATTTGGTTCCTCAAATGTGCTCCAGCCCTATAATGAATATTTTGTGTTATATATGTTTATGTAATTTTTAAATTTTACATGTAAGATTGAAGATTATTTTGGGTACTCAGATTTTTTCTCAAGAAGTTTGATGATGTTCAGATACCGTATTATCTTTCCTCAACTGAATTTACTGGTCTACCGTAAGCCGGACCGGCCGGTTTTATCTCGGTACACTTTAATAGTTTTGAAATCGAGGGTTTCGAAACTTAAACCAAATAAACCCTAGATCTTTAGAAAATCAGAACGTTTCTTCTTTTCTCCTTTCTGCTTTAGTTCTTCATCGCCGTAGCTAATCTTCGCCTAGGATTGTTTTCTAATCTGATTAGGAATCATATCTTCTTGTAGCTTCCTAGAAATAAGTTTTTTGAGTGTAGAATATGAGCGACGATATCGGGTTTTTTTCCAGTGATACGAATTGTTGGTTATAGAATATGAGAATTTGAAATTGTGACAAAAGATGCTTACTTAAGCAAACCCTTTGGTGTGAAGAAGGATTGTAGCAATGGCGGTTTATAGAGAAGATGAAAGAGGACGAAATCAGGTAAAGGTTACGTATTTAGCTGCTTGTTAAGATTTGATTGGAGTTATGAGAATGTTTATGGATGAAATTGATATTTAGAAAGCAAAAGAGTATTATTAACGTTTGAAATAAGGCTTTCTGAGTTTGATTGTTATTTGATTTGATTTTGCAGATCAGAGCTTCTGGTGAAGCGTAAGATTCATAAAGATAGAGAGAGAGTGGTCCGTGTTGACAGTATGTTAAAGTGGAATCCATTTGTCGAGTTAGTGCCATCTTGAAAGCCAAAGTTGAAGAAGAGTGAGAGGGCAATCGGTAAAGAAGAGAAAGCACCTAAACAAGTTCAAAAAGTGAGTAATTTGATGATATGACTTTCTACACGTGTAAGATGTTTTGTCTTCTTTTTTTTTCCCCAGGGAGCTAATTTCATATGATTTGTCTCTTATTTGCTGAATGTTGGTGACGACAGGTTGATAGAGAAGATGGAAGAAGACCAAATCAGCTAAAGGTTACGTATTTAGCTGCTTGTTAAGATTTGATTGGAGGTATGAGAATGTTTATGGATGGAATTGATATTTAGAAAGCAAAAGAGTATTATTAATGTTTGGAAAAAGGCTTTGTGAGTTTGATTGTGATTTGATGTGATTTAGCATATCAGGCCTTCAAAGCCAAAGTTAAAGAAGAATGAGAAGGCAATCGGTTACGAAGAGAAAGCATGTAAACAAGTTCATAAAGTGAGTAATTTGATGATATGATTTTCTACACGTATAAAATGTTTTGCCTTTTTTTTTTTTCCGCCGGGGAGCTAATTTTATATGATTTATATCTTCTTTGCAGAATGTTGGTGACGACTCTGTAATAGTGGACTTATGGGCTGATGATAGTAAAGGTTTGCTTACTCATTTATTCTACTTTTTAGTTTCTTCTAAATATTTTTATTTCCAATGGCATGAAGTAACGTTTACTTTGACATAAAAATAACTTGCAGGAGAAGATGAGAGCAATCCTAGAAAGGTAATGTGTCTGCTGTAATTAAATTGTTTCAGAACTTATTTGGTTATAGACAGGGACAAAGTTGGTTTTTTTTTTCCCTAGTGGACAGATTTGCAAAAAGCCATCGATTATTCTAGCAGTGGAAATTGAACATCGAGGATGGTCATACAACCCTACAAGTGGAAGTCACCGGCTTATTCTCTGGTGTTTGATAAGACATTACAAATATTCTTATGTTAATTGATTTAATGTTAAGTTCATATGAATTTTCGTTGTAACTACGTGGTGGCACTAACAGCTCAGCTCTTAATATGCAGTTATCACAGCCATCATTGGGAGCTCTACAGACTTGAGAATCCAAATATGTAAAAGTCTGGGAGGTAATGTCAGTTTACCGTGTCTAAAATAGCGGGGGGATGATGGCAACGTAACTTACTTTTTCAAATTCATGTAGGGAAATTTATGTGGGCGAAGGCAAGGGCAGCCAGTTCTTATCACCAGCCTTGAGGTGTGTTTAGGGCACTTACTATGCACTTTTCTTTCCCCCTTTGTGTATTTACTGGGATCACATGCTTGGTGAATGCTTAAGCACATCTTCCTCTGTAGAATTTTGTTGAGTTCTCGTAGTAAATAGTAACGTCTTCGTTTATATTTGGCAGGGTTACCGAAGTGCTTCTGCCTCTTATTCGTTAGTTTATAACTAATAGAAATATGAAAACGGCATCCTTATTAACCATCGTAAGGACAGCACTCTACCTTTTAAGAAATGATTGTAGCTGCTAAACTAATTATTGCTTTCTCTTTTTGTGCATCTCCCCAGGTTGGCAGGGAATTGACTACCAACTATGCAGATTGTTCGTCTCATATCGGAGGATCATATGAATAACAAGTAATTTCTTCTTGCTATAGCCTTCCTTATTCCAACTGATTAATTGGTGGATGTCAATATCATGGCACTAAATAGTTCACCTGACTTTTTAATCAGGCAATATGTTTGGGACCATGAGTCAACATGGGTTCTTAGGACAAGTTGAGGATAGAAAGCATGTGAGTATTGTTGATATTTTACTTAATAATTGCAGTCGTTTGTTCAAATTTAATAACCAAATGATGAATGTTGTTACTGGTTTATTTGATATATTAGGACGAATTAGATGTTAAGAATGAAATCGTAGAAAAAATATATGGACTTACATCTGTAAACTTGTTCTTGGTGAATCTATCAATCTCTTGCTATGTTCTTGGTAAACTTGTACTACTTGGCTATTTGGAAATACATATGGGCCATATGTCATGGGCTATTTTGTATAGCCCATTTGGCATTCATAATTAGATGCTGATGTGTAAAAAATTAAAGCTAACACATATTAACGAAATATTTTGATTAGATGTCTAGAAAGCTGATGTGTCAGCTCCACAATAGATAAAAATGACGACGTGTCACTCTCCTCGAGAGAGTTAGCCTCCTTTTAAGTATTTGATTCCTTTTGTTTAAGAGAAAGAGAGGGAGAGTTGGATGTTTTAAACCTTAAATTTTTTCTAGAATTTATTGTTTGATTATATATAGTCAGCAAAGTGAGATTATGATGCTAAGTGTAACCTTCATTTGTCAGTATCTGTAATTCGTATGCCAAATCTGATAAATTTGTTGATTGATTTTACAACAAAAACATTCCATAGGTCTAATCTTTGTCTTACAATTACATGGAAAGAGAGAGACTAATGCTAAGAAAGACTGTTTGTGTTGGCTAATGTGTTTATACTTCACTATATCGTTATAATTATCTAATGCGGTTTCAGGTAATAAGGCCTAGAAATTAATTGATTTGATCAAACAAGGAGAGGAGGATGGTAATCTTAAATCTAACTGTGTTAGATAATACTTTTAAGTTTATATGATATAACACTCCGGTTACAAGAATTAGATTTGACACAGAAGGTGGAGTAATCATATCATATCAATGTCACATTTGTTGCCAGTAACCATACCCTAATTAAGTATTCTTTTGTCTGTTCTAAGTGACCCGGTTGCAGAGAAACTTATTGTCTTATTTATGCTTAACTAATACTCCCTCCGTATGTAAATACATGTCGTTTTAACTGTAATTCCTTAAATTAAGGAAACATAAATAATGACACTTCTATCCTCACAAAAATTGACAAATTACAATGACGAACCAAAAAAAAAAGCTTCTTCTTTCTTCTCTTTGTGCAGAACAATGACGAACCCAAAATCTAGGGTTTTCTTCTCCCCAAATTCGTTTTTCTTCTGTCGGGTGTTCTCAATCGCTTCTCTGGTTTAGTTTTGTTTTGTTTTTCTATGGTTTTGTTCAATTCTGATTTTTTTTTCAAGTCAATTTCTCTTCTCTGAACTCTGCAGAAGCGTTATCGATTAATTCCACTTCAGGGTTTTGATTTTTATAAAGTTGGAAGAGAGCTTGGGTTTTGGTCTCCGTTACAGACAACACATATGACGGAGAAGCGGCGACGGCGGTAGTGACGGAGAAGCGGCGACGGCGGTAGTGACGGAGAAGCGGCGGTCAGAAATTGGAGGAAGAGGAAGACGGAGATTGAGCTGACGACGTTCACGAACCAAAAGCAGAGTTTGCTTTGGTGAGTTTTTCCCCAAATTTTTGTTTCATTTTAACATTTTCACATTTTCACATTGAGTATCAAAACTTGGAGGGAAACAAAAATTAACCAAATCAGATGATTAAAACTTGGAGGCAACTTAATTCAACTTTTACATTTTTCATCTCCTTCTAATTTTACATAATCAGATGATCATTTTCACAAGCTCTCTCTGAATCAGCTCCATGGCAACATTTGATTAAAACAAGATCATTTTTCAACTCCATGGCTACGTTGAATCTAAATTTTCACCTAATGAAAATCATTCTTTTGATTTAAACGCAGGTCTTGGAGAAGGTACTTATGCTCTTAGACTACACTCCTAAGCTTCATTGAGCTGTTAGAGAGCTCATTTAAGATGGTTTAGGCTTGACAACGAACCTACACGTTTTGCTTCTATTTGTATGGCATGGTGATTGTGTTATCATACACTGAAACTTCTCGTATAATGATGGAGTATAATGATGGTTTCAGATGACACGAACAGGACACTGGAAGTGCATAGGGAGACACGCTCTGCTTTAAAGACCAACCTGAAAAATGAAGACCAACCTTTTGTTATCTTTTGTCAATTGCTTCCTTTAGTCTCTTTTGTGTTTTTGCCTGTGATGATTGGAGTTCAGTCTTTCTTTCAGTCTTTCTTTCAGTCTTTCTTTCAGTCTCTTTTGTGTTTTTGCTGTAGGTGGCAGACCTCTTAAACCCTGGGAACAAGAAGGACCTAATGCACATGGTGGCTCTACAAGTAAGAAGGACTACACTAATCGTCATAGATGGGAAGTATATAATGCTTTGCTTGAAAGGAGTGTTAGAGGGAGATTAGGTAGAAATGTTGTTAAAGAAGTAGCGAATTTGCATTCCATGCATATTAGAACTGTTCAGCGAATTTGGAAACAAGCAAAGGGGACTCCAGCTGGTGCATTGGTTGATGTTTCTCAAAAAAGGAAGAACAGATGTGGTCGCAAGAGGATTCAGATAGATCTCCAACGTGTTTTGGACATTCCTCTACGTAAAAGGACAACTTTAAGGATGCTAGCTGAAGCTATAGGAGTTAGTCACTCAACTCTGTTTAAGAATGTGAAAGAAGGTGTCATGAGGCGACATTCTAATGCTCTCAAACCACATCTAAAAGAAGAGAACAAGGTGGCAAGGCTCAGATTTTGCATGAATATGTTGGACCCTGTAAGCTTGAGTCATGAACCATAGTTTATAGATATGTACAACATTGTACATATTGATGAAAAGTGGTTCTATATGACAAAGAGAACCGAGACCTACTACCTTCTACCTGAAGAAGATGATCCTATAAGGACATGTCAAAGCAAGAATTTTATTGGGAAAGTCATGGTTCTAGTTGCAATGGCAAGGCCAAGGTTCAATGCTCAAGGAGTTGAAACTTTCTCTGGTAAGATAGGTGTGTTTCCTTTCATCACACGTCAGCCTGCTCAAAGGAGGAGTAGAAATAGAGAAGCTGGAACAATAGTAATCAAACCGGTTACTTCAGTCAAGAGAGGTGATGTTAGAAAAATGTTGTTGGAAGATGTTATACCTAAGATTCGTGAGAAGTGGCCTCTTGAAGATGAAGGAAAAACAATCTTAATTCAACAGGATAATGCTAGAACTCATGTGGATCCAACTGATACAAATTTTCAAGAACATGCTTCACAGAACGGATTTGATATCAGACTGATGTGTCAACCGCCTAATTCACCGGATATGAATGTTCTGGACCTTGGTTTCTTTAGTGCAATACAAGCACTACAACATAAGGTGTGTCCCGAAACCATTGAACAGCTTATAGATGCAGTCAATACAGCTTTTGAAGAGTATCCAACTAGGAAGATAAACCACATCTTCTTAACTCTGCAACTCTGCATGAAAGAGACAATGAGGATTGGAGGTTCTAATAATTACAAGATTCCACACATAAAGAAAGAAGCTTTGGAACGAGAGGGTTTGCTTCCGAGACAAATCAAATGTGATCCTTCCATTGTAAACAATGTCTTAAATCAATTAAGAGACTAAGGTTAGCTATCGAATTGATAAGGTTTCAATTCTGTTAATAATGTTTTACTTTCAATCATGTGTGTTTGTTTGTTTTTCTGTCTCAGGTACGTTGATCAGTTCAGAAGAGTGGGATTAATGTTCAATGCCAGGTTAGATTTCATATAACGTCTATCTCCTTAGATGAACAAGGGTCTAGTTTTTCCCAAGTCCTTGAGTCTTCCCTCTCTGTTCTTAGCATGATCTGAAATGTTCAAGCAGGTGTTACTGAAAGTAGCAGTTTGCTATGAGTATATGGGTATGGGACAGATTATTCTTCAATTTATAGCCTTTTGAATATCGTGTGTCTTCCTTATTCTGGTACTAGCTCATCAATATCTTTAGCATCACTCACGAATGGAAGAATCATCTGTTAACTTTGCATCTATGGACTTCTTATCAGGTTCAACTTTGCATCTCTGGACTTCTTCATCTGACAAAAGCTTCATTGGAGGCTTACTCTTTGTTTCTTCATCTTCTTCTATTTTAAGGGTTTTTCCTGGATGATTTTTGGGCTTTTGTTTATGGATGTTTTGTTGTTTTGACCTTGAGTTCATATCAAAATTTTCAGAATTTCTTGACAGTCTCAAAAGGATTATTAGGTCAGATTTCTTTGTTTTGGTATCTTACTTAGCTCACTCTAGAATTATAAGCCGAGTCTCAAAAGGATTAAGGGTAATTTGGATATAATTAGGCAAATATTACTTAAACGACATGTATTTACAAACATAAAGATTTGACTAAAACGACATGTATTTACATACGGAGGGAGTATAGTTTTTTTATGACCCAAGTTCCTCCAATTCTTAACTAATTTATGCTTAACTAATCTGAGAAATTGATTTCCCAAGTTCCTCCAATTCGATGTCGAACAGAGTAAGACTTAACTGGATCAGTTTTGTTCTGTCGACACTAAAGCTCATGTCGTTGTAACGTTCGTCGTCTGTTGCGTCTTGTGAAGTTTGTCTTAAAGAACCTGGAAACTCTGTGTCGATTGCAATGAAACGGTAGTTTCGTAGACAATCTTCGATCAAACTCATCTCTTCGTTTCGATTCCAACTCCAGATTTCACGACACTGTTTGTTTTTCATCTCTGACATCGTTTTTTTTTTTGGTTCAAGCGAGAGACAGAGAGAAATTATCTGAGAAAAGGAAAATAATGTGAGAGAGAGTCTTGGGACTCAAGTTTATTATATAGAGTCTTTGACCGCAAGAGTCTAGGCATTAATTTTATTAGTGATTTTGATTTTGGAAAAAAGGAAATTTCCTTTTTTTTTTCAAGTCTTACAAGTCTGATATAGTATTACAGTTTGGTAATTTCTGATATTTACAATTTAAAATACAATTTTCTCTTTACAAACCTGATTAAATGAATCGAGCCAGGTTGGATTTTCTTTTTTTTTTATTAAATTGGAAGTTTTGACATTTTTATTTATTTTTGGCTACTGAAAGATAAAAGTAGTCATCACTTTGAGTGTCACTTGACTTAAAAGTTAAAATATTATAAAATAATGGTACAAATTCAGATTATTATTTTATTGGTTTGATATCGAACAAAAATTTAAACCTATTTTTCAACATATTTAATCACTAGGTATATTAATCTGATGAGACCCAAAATGTTAAGAAAGAAAAAAATTCAAAATTAAACTTTCTATTTGATATTAATTAAGATAAATCGTTACAAAGCAATCTATTTTAAGATACATATCTCGTAAAAAGAATAGTATATTTGCGATTGTAGCTGTAATTGCTAGTATGTTGTATTTAGGATAATGCATTGGCTGTATCTACAAAATTTAGATTGTTAGTATCCAAAATTGAAATAACTTTTTAACATATATATATATATATATATATATATATATTATAGAGTAATTTTGGTATATAACAATTGCAAATATCAAAGATTTCTTTGACACCTGTAGATTTTCTAGTTCAATTGATTTATGATAATTTTGAATTTTTTTTTGGAAAACGAGTAATTGGTAAAAGATCATACATAGAGATGTCAATATTTATTTAGATTATCTGGTATAATCCGAACCAAAAAAAAACCGATCAATATTTGTAGGATCAATGGAAAATTAAGTGTAATCGTCATGTTTGAGCAAGACGTTTAAGATAATTTAGTGATATCCAAAGTTTAGCTTAGGCCTGGGCCAAAGAACCACTAACCAAATAACCGACCGAATCGATCCGAAAAAACCCGAACCGTATCTGAACCGAAATTATTATAATAGCTGAATGGTTAGTAAATCCCCTATCCAAACTAACCAAAACCGAACCGAACCCAACCGATAACCAAACGGTTAACTTTTTTTTTTTTTTTGTCAACAGCTTTATTGGATTGGCTCAAATGAGCCAATGTGGAGGAATATTGTTTACATAAGTAGATAGTTTCGGTAGGGTACGAATATTTCGTGCCAATTTAGACGGACTGGTGTTGACCGACACCACCTGTGTCGATCGACACCATCGACGACCAGAGATACCGCCTTCAGCACACATTGCTCGCGAGACTGCCAACAATGCCAAGAGTTAAGAGTTGTTCCCGAGCCAGACAGAGCACCTCGCCCACGCTTTCCACGCCTTGATCAGCAAAGGTATTGCTCATCCCCTCCTCATCCTTTACCTTCTTCACTAAATACTTCCATATCTTCGAAGAAGGCTTCACAGGTAAACAAGAGCCACGAGTTTCTCGAGTGCTTGTTTCTTCTGTTGTTGATGCAGGACTCGGAACTAAGGATGCTGCAGCTTCTACAAGTTTCCTTGGACACGAGCACACCTCCACCGCTTACACTCCACCATGGCTAGCAAGGCGTCGCTCTTCTGAGAAGTCTTCAAACACTTCTCCTGCTCCACCTCACTCCTGAATCCCGACATAGTCAAGCTAATGACTGAAAATAAGCGCTTAGTGGGAGGCAACCCACTGGTATGATTTTATTTTTCTTTTATTTTTTATCTAGGTTTTTCGTTTTTCTTTTTATTTTATTTTCGCCAACTTCGGGTTTGAATGCCACTGGGGACAGTGTCGTTTAATTCTGGGGGAGGCAGTTACTAACTACGTTTTTCTTTTTGAGTCTTATTCTTATTTTTCTTTATCTTTTGAGTCGTTTTATTGAGTCAAAATTTTGTTGGAAATTTTGATCTTTTTCTCTAGATTATTGCCTGGTTAGTTTAATGCTGCAGATTCAAATCAATCTGACTAATGGAAAATCCAGAGAGTTAATCGATAGACCAGAGGACATCCACGTTTCCAACACAATCCGCTAAAGCCTGAGCAAAGTTCATGCTCTTCACCTCGTCAATACGGTTAGTATTCGTAGAACTTGACTCCTCGTTCATACCTGATAAATGAGACCAATGTGGAAAAAGAATGGTATTCCTCTCCCTTATTCTAAAAAAAAAAAAAAAAGATTGAGATGATTTTCTTTTGGAGTAAAGAGATAGGAATATCTCCCGTGATCTCATTATTTTACTTCAAGAGGAATGATCACACGAAGGTTGGAAGCGAGGTTAGAAAAATTTCCGATGATACCATTATTCGCCTACACCTTTGAAGCTAAAAAAAAGAAGAATAAGTCTGGGGGAGAGAAAGAGTACCTAAATATGTAGTAATGGTTGATTTATCATGGTATAGTACGGGAATGAGTCTAAAAGGTTCTTGAGTACTGATTTTATGGATGAGATTTATGCGATGAGGGCTATAGGATATAGTTGTGGAATTTGGTTTGGAATTTGAAATGTTGAGAATGCTTGCGGAGAATTACATGGTGGTTAGGATTTGATGCGATCTGCTAGGCATTTGGATTTGGTTTGAATGATCAAGGTAATAGGCTAGAGAAATTGGGAGTTTCTATGTTTTCAAACTTCTTCCACGGGTTCGGTTTTTGTGTTTTGCTTGAGGGCAAGCAAAAGCTAAGTCTGGGGGAGTTGATATAACACGGATTTTACTGGTTTGAACCGTGATTTACGTGTTAGTTTTAGAGTCTTTTTGTTTTTTCTAGTATCTTTTTGAGTCTTTTCAGGTTTTTACACGTTCGGGACGAAATTGGAGAAAAAGAATCATTCTGGAGCTAAACCGAAGATTTGGAGTTGAAGAGACGAATTCGGTTCGAACCAAGGCATGGGTGTCGACCGAAACCCTTGGTGTCGCTCGACACCAAACACGGCCCAGCAAGAAGTCTCGACGGTTTAGAGTTTTAAAGCCCGCAGAATTTACCCAGAAGACTTCCCTATTTGCAATTTTAGTCCCTGCACGTTTTTGAGACTTTATAAATAGTTTTTTGGGTTTTTCTATTTCATTATCTTGTCTTTGGCTTTTGTAATTCTCTGAGCTTGAACCCTTTGGAAGATAATTGTAGAGAGCAACTTTTCAGAGATTCAATAACTTGTTAGAGAGAAGATTTATTCTAAACTCTTTTCTTCTTTTAATTTCTTATTTTGCAATTTATTCAACATGTTTTCTGTTTCATTAATCATGTCTGAGTAATCTCCCTGTTAGGTTTAGGGATTCTCATTAGGGATTTAGATGAACTAGTAAATCAATTATTTGTTAGGATTAATCCATAGAGTTCTTCATCTAGGTTGTTTTTAATGCTTGTTCTAGAGTAGCTAACTAGAACTTGATCATAGGATAATAGGTATTTGATCCGAGAGGGCACCTGTTAACTGAACCACTTTAGATGAGCCTGTTTTATAGGTGTGTAATAAGAATCGGCCTATCTACTAAGGTGAACTTATCAAACCTGAATTTAATGCTAGTCTAGATCTAGGAATTCGCATCGAGAGGTGGAATTACTGATATTAGGCTTGTTAGTTATCGCATCGAGAGGTGGTTAGCTATTCATTAGTGATTTGAGTTCAAGAACGGTTCATTAAATAATCCTAATTAACTTGCTAAATTTACTAATAGTTTATTTCCTGAGAATTTTTCTAAACCTGACGCTTTAATCTATTGATCTTTTCACCCGATAATCATTGCTTGCTATTGTTTTATTTTAATTTTAATTATTTTGTTTAGCCTAATTTCGAGACTTATAACTTATTGTGTGAACAAAAAAACTTTGTGGAATTCGACCCTTAAGTACTGCAATAGATCTCTTATTTGAGAGAGTGGGCTTTAGGAGTTAATTTGACTCATATCAATAATTCTATAAGAAACATTTTAATTTTTTTGGTTACAATGCATAGTTTTCGTTTAATTATATTTAACTAGAAACACATAAATTGTATATAATATTTTAACTTACAATTTTAATTTACTTTTACTAACAATATATGTTTTAATTATATTTGTGTGTTTGGCATTTACAATTAGCAAATGATTTTGTTTTAAAGTTATAAGATGTTTAATATGAGTTTATTTAAAAAATAAACACTAGTCATAAAACCTAACACAAACAATATATTGACAAAATTAATATATCGTAATGTATATATATATTATATATTTGTTAAAATCATTATGAATAAGAAAACAACACACATTTACACTTTTACTCATTTTTGGTTTTGATTTATATTTTTTTATTTTCTTTTTGACGAGAATGTATATGCTACTGTTTTCTAATATATGAATATAATTTTATAAAAATAAATTTAATCCATATAAAAGACTAAAATGATTTTTTTTTTTGAAAAAACTA